ATGGTGGATTAAGTGTTTCATGTTTTATTATTTTCATCTTTTTATCTTTATAATGTAAATCATCATAATAACTTCCTGTGTTGTTATATTTTATAAATATGTCCAAGTTTAATAAAGTGAAAAAAAATACAAAATTTTCTGTTACTTCAGTCAGTATTTAATACAGCTGGCACAACGAATGATTAAAATATAARAATGCGAAGTTAAACAAACTGAATAAAACGTTTGTTCTGCTTCAGTCGAATTAATACAGTATACATAATTCCTCGGGAATATTCTGAAGAAACTGCTTTTATGTTTGTGTTATTTTTTTCAGGTTTAAGTTTGAATGAACCATTTATTAGAATTCTTTTGGCTAAAAAATAAGTGATTTTATTCAGAGTGGATTACAGGATGTTTGAGTGAAGTTTTCTTTAGTTGAATATTTGTTCTGATCGTTTTGGAGCTGCTACAATGCAMCTGTGGTTCACTGTCAGCTATAATGTTCTTTCAATCACAAAACAGCAGCTTTATGCTGCATTAAACTCACCTAATTAAACAGAGAGCTATGTTATGTTGACAGTAAAAACAGCTGACAGAGCACTGAGTTTTACTGTGGTGGAAGTCTAATTTAAAATGGATGGAGCCAAAGTTCTGTGGTCAAATGAATTAAACAGATGCCACAAACTCCATCCTTCCAGGACCATCCATCCTCTTATCAGCACACATTGTAAGAGGATGGTTGCATTAGTCTCTATGGCACAGACAGCTTTCACATCTAGAAATGTGCCATTAATGAAGAAAAGTATCTATTCTTTTTAGAAAACATCTGCTCTTACCAAGACATCTTTTTCAGACGGGTCTTTCATATTTCAGAAGGATGAGGTTATTCTAGGGTTGTTAGGGGTTTTATGCCCAGGTAGGGTCACCCAAGGCAAACAGGTCCTGGGTGAGGGATCAGACAAAGTGCAGCCCAAAGACCTCTATGATGGGTGTCAACATTGGACTAAAGGGTTCGACACACGTGAGGCGACATCGCTCGCTCTCCATTCATTTCCCATGGAGCTTGTGCGATGAGGCGACAACTGCTTGTCCTCCTCCAGCTAAGCGACTGGTGAAAATAGTGCCTGTGAAATTTCGCACTCGTATACGTAGCCATGCACACGCAAGCTTGCGATGCAACATTTGAAAGTTGAAAAGTGTTCAATTTTGTCGCTATCGCTTAGCGTAAAACCAATCAGKGAGGGTTTCATTGACTGACCAATGAGCGGAGAGAATGCTACACACTACAGTTAGCTATCACTTTCACCGATTGCTAAAAAAGACAGCTTTGTGGGAATTTGCTGGTGCCAGGGTGAAGGTATCCAGTAAGTTTGTCCTCATAAAATTGTATCTTGGTGTGCGTTTGTTTTTCAATATCACTAGCATCGCAAGWTTTGTTTAGTTTACACGTCCGTAKAGCACACARCCCTTTTATGTGAACCACCAATAACCTTTATAAGAGGCAGTAGAAGAACCAATCAAATTTCGTGAAGACAAGCGACCTGAGAGCGTGATTKGCAACGCTGTCGTCGCTATCGCATCCCGCGTATCGGGTTTCACCCTGGCTGCGATGACAGCCGTTAATCGCTGTAGTTTGTCGCTCCCTGTGTGTCGAGCCCTTTAGTGTTCCCTRGCCTGGACGCCAGTCACAGGGGCCCCACTCTGGAGCCAGGCCTGGAGGTGGGGCATATTGGCGAGTGCCTGGTGGTCGGGTTTTCGCCCATGGAGTCCAGCRGGGCACAGCCCAAAGAGGAGAAGTGCATCCCCCTTCCCATGGGCTCACCACCTGTAGGAGGGGCCAAAGGTGTCGGGCACAGTGTGTGTTGGGCAGTAGTTGAAGGCGAGGACCTTGGTGGTCTGATCTTCGGCTACAGAAGTTGGCTCTAGGGATGTGGAATTTCACTTCTCTAGTGGGGAAGGAGCCTGAGCTGGTGTGTGAGGTTGAGAGTTTCCAACTAGTTGGACTCGCCTTGACACACCACTCTTGCTCTGGAACCAGTCTCCTCAATTGGGTTAGAACACTCTTTTACTCTGGAATTGCCCATGCTGAGAGGCACTGAGCAGGAGGGGGCATACTTATTGTTCCCCCATCTTGGTGCCTGTACGTTGGGGTTCACCCAGGTGAACAAGAGGATAGCCTAGTCTACATATGGGGGGACGAGTCCTGACTGTTGTTTGTGCCTTTGCACCTAAGAGCAGTTCAGATTAATCACCCAGATAAGGTCAGAAGCTCAGTCATCCATGAGAGACTCATAGTAGATTTGCTGCTCCTCCATGTCAAGAGGAGCCAATTGAGGTGGTTCATCTGGTTAGGATGTCTCCTGGACGCCTCCCTGGTGAGGTGTTCCAGGCATGTCCCACTGGGAGGAGACCCAGAGGAAGACCCAGTACACACTGTGTGGATTATTTTTCTCAGCTGGCCTTGGAAAGCCTTGGGATTCCCTCACAGGAGCTGGCCTAAGTGGCTGGGGAGAGGGAAGTTTGGGTCTCTCGGCTTAGGCTGCTGCTGCCCCCARGTCCCGATCCCAGATAAGAGGAAGAAAATGGATGGATGGATATCAAAAAGAAAAAAATAAGTAGGTCCTCTGGACAGGTTCTTTAATGAAAACGTTTGTTTCTCCTCCAAGAGACTTCAGTCTGAGGAGGTTCAGGTGAACTCAGCCTTATAAGCATTGCCTCCACATCGTGGACAAACAGGTTGGTCACATGCAAAAGAGGACCATAAGCCAAACAATAGTTCATTAGTGCCTTGATTGGCTCTATTGTTCATAGAGGGCCATGTGGCCGATCACCTGACTATTGTTGGGTCCCTGATTCACACCTTTTGCTCACAGGGGGCTGAGTCATACTTGCAATACCAGCATTGTAGGAGGGGGACAACTGGACACAAAGGCCCCCACCTGTTTAACGGTGGACAGTTTTTCTTCACAAAAATGGCTTCCTTTACTCCTCAACATTTCTCTCTATCAAGGTTGAGAACATCTTCATCCCTGAAAGAGTGACTGCTGACCTGTAGATGAGTGTAAACTGTAGAGTCCTGGCCNGAGTCCTGGCCTGTAGATGAGTGTAAACTGTAGAGTCCTGGCCCAGATGAGTGTAGACTGCAGAGTCATGGCCTGTAGATGAGTGTA